TAGGTTTAGGTGTAGGGTTGGTGTAGGGCGATAGAAAATATGGTTTGCACAATATAAAAACCATTACGCTTATGGAGAGTCCCTACAAGGATAGCTAACCAGACTGTGTGTGTGTGTGTGTGTGTAGTTAAACATTCTCCAATAATATTTGTTTTATTTACAAATGTATCTTAATTTTGAACTTAATCAGAGGAGAAACTGCATACATTATGTGATTTCTTTTTTAAATCTCTCTCTGTCTTTATTTGTTATTAAAGCTGTTAATCTAAAATCATGAATAACAAGTCCTTATATTGTTCAAAGTTAACAAATGCAGTAAATAGCTAACATGTTCACTGCTGTACTGTATATACAGTACACAACAATTTATTTGTTCATCATTTGTAGCATCAATTATGAATGTGTAAAAGAAAGCAAATATACAATGCAAATCAATTTAACAGTAAATGTATATAACAACCTCTTGTAAGATTGCATTGCTTTTTACAGAGCTTGCAGAGCTTTTTACACGCAATTTCAGTGATCAGTTTATTGTACAGACACTTTAACATTGCACTCATTTTTTTTGTTGTTGATGAAAATCAGTATATGCAATGTTCCAACATGTTTTTTAATACATAATACATAGATATTTCTTCACCATTGGAGTAAATAAGCCTGCTGTGTCGATTCTGAGGCTCTGTGTTGTTCTTACAGAAAGTCCGTAAAATTTTCTTCAAGTGGTTTCTGAATTTTATCCCCATAAAAACATAAAACACAGGATTCAGGGAGCAGTGTGAGAAAGCCACCTTACAAGAGACATACAAGCTGTTAATCTAAAATCATGAATAACAAGTCATTCTGTTGTTCAAAGTGAACAAATGCAGGAAATAGCTAACATGTTCACTACTGTACTGTATATACAGTACACACCAATGTATTTGCTCATCATTTGTTGCATCAATTATGAATGTGTAAAAGAAAGCAAATATACAATGCAAATCAATTTAACAGTAAATGTATATAACAACTTCTTGTAAGATTGCATCACAGATTTTTAGAGTTTTTTTACATGCAATTTCAGTGATCAGTTTATCGTACAGACACTTTAACATTGCATTCATTTTTTATTTTTTTTGATGACCATTGAGAGTTTAGGCATGGAAAGCTAATACATAGATATTTCTTCACCATTGGAGTAAATAAGCCTGCTGTGTCGATTCTGGGTTTCTGTGTTGTTCTTACAGTAAGTCCATAACATTTTCTTCAAGTGGTTTCTGAATTTTATCCCCATAAAAACATAAAACACAGGATTCAGGCAGCAGTGTGAGAAAGCAACCATCCGAGAGACATACATCAAATAGTCTATAGATTCGCTCAGCTTACAATCATTAAAAGGAGAGACTTTCCACGAAATCAGAGAGTCCAGAAATATGGCCACGTTGTACGGCCCCCATCCCAAAAAGAAAAACACCACAATGAAGAGGATGAGCTGCACCGTCTTTCTACGAGTGTGAGATGTTGGTCGAAGCAGCCGTCCCAAGATCACAGTGTAGCAAAAAGCAATGATCACAAAAGCGATAATGAAAAAGGAATTTTGCAAGTATGTACTTGCCAGTTTCCAATTAATTTCACCAGCAAAATCACAGAGCAGAACTGCATTGGCGCCGTTGTTTTGAGCATCCATGAATACATCAGTTGGGTTGTACACAACTGAGTTGAACCTGGCTTGTGGGATAGCAGCACAAAGACTGATGATCCAGATGACAAGTGATGTCACATAGCAGTGCAGGCTCTTCCTAGACATGACCACTGACATGGGATGAACCACGGCCATGTAACGGTGGATGGTCAAAACCGTCAGGAAGATGATGCTGCTGTAATATCCCGTGTAGAACACAAAGTTAACAGCTTTGCAAGCAGGATCTCCAAGAGTCCAGCCATATATGTAGTAGTAGGCCCAGAAGGGCAGGCCAAAGGTGAAAATCAGATCAGAGAGAGCCAGATTTAACAGAAATGTGTTAGTAAGGGATTTCAGATTTTCATACTTCACAAGGACCCACACGACCAGAGTGTTTCCCACACAGCTGAACAGAACGATGATGATGAAAATGACTGGAGTGATGGCTGTCGCAAACTGGATGGCATTTTTCTTGATACAGATGCCACCATCAATGCTGCCATTGGTGAAATTGTAATCATAATAGTCTAAAGTGGAAGATATTTCATACTGATATTCAGTGATTGGTTGGACTTTCATCTTGATGCATAAATGTACACTGAAAACAAATTGGAGAATTTTCACTCAGAAAATTTCACATATGATTACAAAAAACAACAGTAAAACAAACAAAAACAGCAAGTAACACATTGTATTAAATCTATCAATCAATCTATCTATCTATCTATCTATCTGATCTTAATAACTTAAATATTAAACATTAACCAAAGAAATAATCAATGATTGCATTGATAATTATCAAAAATATTGAGAGCATAACATTAATGGAAATATAACATTTCTTATACTATAATTATACATTTCTTATAAAAATATTTATCTCAGTGGAATTTATAATCTGTTTTCTGACTTCTGAGTTATCACTTACCTTTATGAAATTCTCCAGAGAAAATGTTACTGTAATGGTTGATCGCAGACTGAGTGAGTGTTAAATAAAAAAAAAACTATGAAACTTTCTAGACTGGTTATTGTTCCTATTAGTATCAGTAGAGTACAACCCACCAAAAAATGATTCTCAGATCCCCCATCCTCAAAACCAACCAAAAAACAGTAGGTCCATGTCCTATTTTCTGTTCCTTTATAGCCTACCATAAATTAATTCGCAAGATCCCGAGGCCTTGCCCTTAGTCGGAAAAGAACTTGAATCAAGAAAGGTGAGAAAAAAAATTAAAAAAAAATAAATCACACTGAGTTGATCTATATTTATATTTAATATGAATTAGGTTAAATGTATGATTAAAAATAAAAAGTAAGACTCTATGCATCAGCCATGTTACTATCATCCCTTTTTAAAAAAGAACCTGCTTCATAAAATGACTCTTCAGAAGCAATTGCTAAAACTAATTGTTGATGGTTATTGGTTTTGGTCGTTTTCTAGCTATACAGCAGCACATGTTAAATCATAACATATATATGTTAACACCTGAAATGTGTGATGCACTCATTACTGATCATCACATGACACTACTTGTTTATTTACTGCGGCTTTTTGTTTCGCAACCAAACTTGATGAGCTCCGAAGAATCTGCTATTTCGTTTCCCCCTCTGATTGGATTAGCTTGCTGTCAATCACTCTTAGTACCGCCCCCTCTAATGGCAGCAGGGTTGGATCTACTGTAAATAATCGATGAGGAAGATCAGCTTTCTGTATTAAGTATGTCTTTATTTACATCTATATATCATTATTTACATATGTTTATCAAATATACATTTGTTTATACTGACGATAGGTTGACGGTTGTGGCAGAAATGTGATAAAACGCTCAACGCTAAAGTTGTAAAGTTCCGCGCTCTCTCTCTCGCTCTCTTGCTCGCTCGCGCACGCACACACACACGATGCGCAAAACTCCGCATTTGAACAGTCAATAGCAAATACTTAAACTAATGAAATGGCTGCTTCAACACTAACTGCGGTTACTGAAACCACGCCTTCTTTCTTTGCGTGCACATTTGGGCGGCATTACGCTAATATTTCCACATAGTGAGGTAGATATGTGGGGGCTTGTTAGAACGAGCCATTTTAGGGAGGCGTGGCAGAGTCTTAACTTTGATAAAGAATATCTCTTTGGTTTGGAGACTTTAGTCTTTGCAACTTCAGGGATCTTATCTATGCACAATCAGCTTGTAACACTCCAAAGAGAAAGGAAAACTTGAAATCCCATCATATGACCCCTTTAAGTTTTAGTAATTTTGATATGTGCTTTTGTGATTTTTATTACATGGCTTTGATTCATTTTTATTTCAGTTTTAGTAATTCTTCTACTTCAACTTGATTTAGTTCAGTTAGTTGCCAAGGCCACATTTCTAGTTTTTTTGTTTCTAATTTGTAAGTTTTCGTGTAATATTTATATTTACATTATTTCCCAGATTTATTTCAATTACCAGTTATAATACAACTGCAATGTACAGTATATAAATTCTGCAGATTTTTTGTCCCACAATCAGTGAAAAAAGTATGTGAAAAAAGTTTCTTGTAGAACTAGATTAAAAAAAAAAAGTCTTTACAAAAAGTAGAATATCCTGTGAAATTCAGTTGTTACCACTTAACTAGTTTCTCATTATTTACCATAAAAATGATGGTGACCTGGATGACTGGGGATCTCCGCATTCATATTTAACCAGACATCATGTTTAGAGTGACTGTTTTGAGATTAACCTTTTGACCCTTGTGTCCAGTTTGACCAGAAAGAGAGGACCACATTTCTGGGCAGCAGGAAAGACTACTGGGACTATTTCTGTGACTGCTTGGCCAAGATTAAAGGAGCTAATGACGGCATTCGCTTTGTCAAATCAACCCCCGAGGTAATCCACTGCACGAGCCCAAAACTCTGCTATAAAACTCATCTCTTCAGCCAGTGCGTGTTTGGCTCCAGCCTACCTTCTCATTTCTCTTTTGCACTTTCATGTTGCTGGTTTTCTGACGTTTATTTTTTTTTACATCCGTTTATTATCTGCACCTCTCTGGAGGGTTTGAAGCAGGAAGCAGTGACACTCAGCCTCAGGTTGGTCATGTGTTATAGGCATTCGACTAGCAGTAGAGACTCATAACTGTACATTATACAGACAGGCATGTTACAGTATTCCTTTATTAAGGCAGGTGATGTTTAGTGCTAAGACGTGAATAACTATTACCATTTCTCATACTGTGGGAGACAAACCACTAAGTTAAAATATTAAACTTTTTTTGAGCTTAAGTATTAAACTATTAAGCTTAAGTATTACCCTTTAAAGGGATAGTTCACCCAAAAAGGAAAATTCTGTCATCATTTACTCACCCTCATGTCGTTCCAAACCTGTATGAGTAAATGATGACAGAATTTTCATTTTTGGGTGAACTATCCCTTTAAGTATCACATTTGTCCGTGCATCTTATCCTGCATCATTTGTGCTACTGTGACATAGTACTTCAAATTCTGAAGCTTGTTGAAGATAGATGTGTGCTATTACTTTTTTAATTGACCATACTTGATTTTTCACATAGATTTACATTGAAGGAGGGACCTGAGAGAATATTATAGAGGAGAGCTGTTTTGACTCCTTTTTGGATCTTAGCCAGAAAGAAAGCACCCGGAACACCCTAAAAACCACCTAGCAATCACCCACAACATGCAGATATTTTTCAGACTCTCCTATATAGAATAAAGGTGATCACTCTCTTTGTGTACTGTTCCTGACATAATCAGTTTAAGACATTCACTTGTATTACTCAGATTATAATTTAATTATTATTAGAGCAATCTCTTTTTCTCATTTCAAGAACAACTTTCACTAATGCATACGAAAAGTCTTCAAAATTGATGTGTTAGCGAACCGCAGCTTTTTGTGAGTCTCGAATCCAGAACAAATCCAGAAATCCAGCGTCAGCTGTATAGTGTAACGTTTCCATCTGGTGTCCTTATGCTCTTTGGTCACCCACTGTAATCCTCCATCTGCTGTCCCACTGACAAACATTGTTTGTGTTTAGATTGGCATAGATTATAATTTAATTATTATTAGAGCAATCTCTTTTTCTCATTTCAAGAACAACTTTCACTAATGCATACGAAAAGTCTTCAAAATTGATGTGTTAGCGAAACGCAGCTTTTTGTGAGTCTCGAATCCAGAACAAATCCAGCGTCAGCTGTATAGTGTAACGTTTCCATCTGGTGTCCTTATGCTCTTTGGTCACCCACTGTAATCCTCCATCTGCTGTCCCACTGACAAACATTGTTTGTGTTTAGATTGGCATGTTACCATACCATCTCGTACAGTATTTTTCAGCATGCACTGTGTACTACACTAGGTACATTAGTCAAATTTAGTGTATACATTGAATACAGAAATGTCATATTATTGCATTTGCCAAAATGTAAAGCATAAAACTAGATCACACTGCACTGAATACTGTATCCCATGATGCAGTGCACTCGGCTTTACCTTCATAATCAGTGTGCCAACAGAACAGAATCGGAATCTTTTCTTGATTCATTATTTGATAATAAATAATTTGTAATAATAATTTGATAGCAGACTGCCAACAGTTTGATGGTTTTATACTTTTATACCGATCTCCTCCTTTTTATGCCTATTTATTTATTTATCTTTCTGTCTATAGGGGGGTTAGCAGAGCTCGAGTAGAATAGTCTCTCTGAGCCCTCCATTGCAGACATCAAGCCAAATCTGTTTACCACTAATGCTAAGATTACATGGGCACACAAACTCGTGAAACATGAACTATAATGTAGTGATGTTTATGTTTAAGCAGATAATCTGCTCACTGACCTTTGAACTAAGTTATACTGTTTCCTTTGAAAACTCAAAATTGATTGTCAGTTGTTTCTAGCTCTTTTGTGATGTTCATACGTGTTGTTATCATTATGCAACATGTAATCTCATTCCATTATCATAAGAATCTTATGTGTTTTTCAGATTGTCATCAACAAAATGAGAAGCTGTAGTGTTGTGAACAGAAACTTGTGTAATTTATACAAAGTTAACCAGAACATATCTAATGCTCAGGTCTCATTTCAAAACATGCATATAATCCTTATTAAATACAAGGCCTTTTTGTTTACTTTGTGTGATTTAGCTGAAGACATCATTAGGGAAAGGACGGGCTTTCATTCGCTACTGTCTGGTGCACCAAAGGCTGGCAGACACTCTTCAGCAATGTCTTATGAACTACAAAACCACATGGTAATATATTCAACAAAAACATCTTAGTGGAAACTTGTACAGGATGACTGATGCATTGCTCCATATGAGTAGCTTTGCTAAAGTACAAAAATCATTTGTATTTTCAGTAAATGTCTAGTAAAATGTGTTAAAGAAGTATTAAAATTAAATGTGTTAAAGTATTAAAGAATGAATATTTAAAATGCAAACAATTATAATAATAAAAATGACAAAAACAAAGTTACTAAACTGTTGCCTAAAATGAAAACAATTAAACTAAAAACAAATAAAAAATATGAATAAAAACTATGAAAAACTATCTCCATTATACTAAAATAACACTGATGTGATGCACGTATGCCTCAGACTTACAATCAGACATGTAAACAACCGTTTTGGTGCAACCACATTTGGCTTTAAAGTGTGGTCAAAATGTCACACGAAAACAAAGCGTATGTATGAAAAGAGTTGCATGCTCTGCTAGCCAACTTTAGAAGGTTTAGATTTCAGCAAATTAGTGTGCAATTAATTAATTTTAATATTAATTCGTATTTATTTTGTTTTTGCACATGACACAACATAGTCATTTGAATAGAGCATGTTTATGCATTAATGCAAATCTGCTCTTTATTTAACAGACCTGAAAGTGTTGATTCAGAGCTAACTCCATCCACACATTAATTTCTCTTCCTCCCTCCGCTTTCACTTCTCCGAAACAAGAAACTTCTTGTCTTAAAGTAGCATGCATACATGTAATGTCAGCGATTTTTATTATAGTACTTAAAACACGGTTATCCAAAGTCCATATAGTTTTTTTTTTGTTAAAAAAGCAAAGCTAAATTTAAATTTAGAAATGCACAGGGTATAACATCTCTGAGAAACAAGTATTCTGAGAACTCCAGACTTGTTTATGAGTGGTAATGATTTTTGTTTGTCATTCACAGTGAGTGGTATTATGAACGCAGTCCCTTCCTGAAGTCCCATCTGAACATTGATCTCATCAACCACCTGTATGAACTCAATGAGGTCCAGTTTGATGTAGCATCCCGAGGTCACGACCTTGACTCTGACTGGCCCACTTTTGCTAGGTAATTCATGAGAATTCAACCCATGCATGTTACAATAGTAAAGTCCCTATTGCAACACATTTAGACTGTAAGACATTTAAGCAGTTGTATTTTGCAGATTGCCTGCGTTGTGAATGAACTAATGTTAGTAAAACAAATGACATGGTTTTTATGTGCATTTCATGCATACAGAAAGACTCTGGGATCAGCTATCTCACCTGCCCATGCGTGGAAACCACCCAGTCGCTGCTCTAGTGTCAACAGTCTGGTTAGCAGTTACTCACAGGTTTGGTAACACATTAGAAACACCTTAGACTATAGAAACCTCATGAAAATGATCTCTTCTGTTCATATCCTCATTATCTCTGGTTCTGTACCTAATATGTAATATACATAAATTCATTCCGTGTTTCTTTTTCTAGCTTTAAAAAGTAATGTTTCAGTTTTGAGTTACCCATAATAAGTAACTAAAACTCCACTATAGAGGAGTGTTATTTCATTATTATTTATGTACTATAATAGTACTATATATTAATATTTTGAATATAATAAATATATATATATATATATATATATATATATTTATATATTTATATTTATATTTAGTTTTAAATTATATATATATATATATTTATATATTTATATTTATATTTAGTTTTAAATTATTTTTATTGCAGTTTCATTTCAATTTAGTTGCCAAAGCAACATTTCTAATTCTCATTTAAGTTTGTTGACAATTGATTTGATTGGATTTCAGTTACTGGAAAACATTTGAATTTTTCTTAGTTTTTTTTTAGACAACTATAACAACAGTTGAAAAGAAAAGAATAGGCACTTATTGTAAAAAGTACCTGGGCTACTATGGTATAAACTGTACTTTTAAAAAGTGATTTTATTATGTAAATCACATTCCATAAACATGCCATTCTGAACTCTGTTTATTTTTAATTGATTTTTAACCTATTTTCCTCTGTTTGTACCACCAATCTAGTTTTCGATTTAATACCACAATACCAGTATTTTGGTATGTCAATATTGACAAATATACCAATGTGGGTGAATGCATTTTGTTTTCTTTCTTTTTTTTGGTTTAGATTTGTTTACCTAATGCAATGCAATCACATAGTCGTTGTCGATTAATTTCAATCTCTTTTCCCTCATGCAGCAAGCTCAAGAGTTTCTTCCAGGCCAAGATTTTGGCTCTAGTCTTCTAGGTGATCTCGGGGAATTAGGTGAGTTGTCCTGTAGTGCTACTGAGGATCTGCGCATTGAGCTCGACCAGTCAGAGTTGAAACAACAAGAGCTCCAAGAGAAGATCAGGCAACTCACCAGTGAAGCAGCTGATCTGAAGGCCGTGGTCAAAGACCTACAGGAGCAACTCTTGGCTAAAGGTCCTAATCAAGAGAAAGAAGAAGATCAGGAGGTGGTGAAAGCTGTTAGAGAGTGCGCAGATCACCTCCATACCACCACACAGGGACTGGAGGTTCTACGGACATCAGAACGCAACCTAGAAGCCAAACTGAGCATTGCGGAGAACAGAAACATGGAGTTGCTAGCAAAACTCGACGGAGCTCTGAGCGAAAAAGGACAGCAGGCCACCAACTACTGCGACTCGGCCTGGAAGATCCAAGAGCTCCTGACCAAGCTAAAGGTGGCAGAGGAAGAGAGGATTGAGTGTAAACGAGAAAGTGAAAATCGGGCGAGACTAGCTGAGCAACTTGCCCAGGAGCTGAAGCTTCAGGAAGAGAAATTAAAGGAGATGGAAAACAAACTGGACACTTGTAGAGTGTCTGCCGACAAAGAACGAACAACCGCAATGCAGCAGACTGATGAGCTGCAGATGACCATCAACCGCTTTCAAGGAGCACATTCTCTGAAGGAGCGGGAAACGGGGAACCTACGGACTCAGCTGCAGGACATGCAGAGAGCACTGGAGACCAAGGACGGTCAACTGGAGGAGCACAAGAAAAGGATAGAAGAGGAGCTACAACATAAAAGTGTGCTTGAAGAACAACTAAATGCAAAGATGACTGAGTTGTCCTCCGTTGCCCAAAAGATCCGGCAACTGGAGAATCTAAACCAGCGGTTGACTTCGGAGAGTCAGAGCTTCCAAATGCAAGCCAAGAAACTGGAAGAGTACAAGAACCAGTGCACAAGTTTAATGGAGATCAATGCCAAGCTGATCCAAACGGTGAAGAGAAATGAAGAGAGCAGCAAGGAGCTGGTGCAAGCCAACAACAATCTAGAGAGAGAACTGATTTCCACACAGGCCTCTGAGAAGCAACTGAGAACCAGATTAGAGTCAGCTGGATTGACAGTGGAGAACCAAAATCTTGAGGAGTGCATACAGAACTGCCAGGTGAACAGCGAGGAAACCAAAATCGAACAACTTGGAGAGAATAGTATATTAAGCCAGGAAGAACTAAATGAGAGAGCTACAGTCCCCCAGGGGAACATGACGACGACTTCTAGTCTCCTTCGGGAGGCTAATGAATCCTCAAGAACTGATAATGGAGAATCCACTTCTAGGTTGGCTCTGGCTGAGGCCCAACTTGAACTCAACATGAAGGAGGTTTCCAGACTCCAGGAAGAGGTCATGGAGCTCCGGGCGCTGCTATTGGTGAGCTCAGAGGAGAAAATAAAGATCCAGGCTCTGCAGGAAGTGACGGAAGCCTCCAGAGAAGATCTCCGGGCTCAGGTGGAGCAACTAAAGTCCCAGGTGGAAGAGCTAAACCGTAGGCATGTGGAGGAACTGCTGCGTTGCCGAGAAAGAGAAGACTCTCTGGTAAAGGAGAGAGATATGGAGGCCCATGTGCGGGCAGAAATCCAAACGAACCTGACTGCCGTGAGGGAAGAGCTTCACATATTGAAAACGCAGAACAGCACGTTTGCGCTTGAGAACGGAGAGGCTCGTGAGGACTTACACAGGGCCAACACTGAGACAGCAGAGCTTGGGGTTCACGTTTGCATGCTGACAGGACAGAACGAGGAGTCTCAGTTGCGATGGGAAGAGCTTTCTACCAAACTGCAGGAGCTACAGATGGAGGCGCAGGAAGAGGTGGAAACTCTAAGTGATTCAATGGAGGCCTTGAGAAAAGATAATGCAAGACTCCAAGAGCAGCTAAAGCAGACTGAAGGACTCCCAGAAGTCATGCAGAAGTTGCAGGAAAGACTTGAACAGGTGGAAGAAGAAGCCAAAAGCGTCCAAAAGATACGACAAAGGGAAGTGGACACACTGAGGTCCCAGTTGAGCGATGAAGCTGCGCACCATCAGAATGAAGTGCAGGTAATTGAAGTAAAAATTCTCATAGGTGTTTGTTTTGTTCTGTTTTGTTCAGGGTGTTTATGGATGTCTCTCTTAAGGGTCTAAATGAGGAACTGGATGCACTGAGGAAGAGGCTGGAGAATGAAGTCGAGAAAGTCTCATGTCTTGAGTCCAAAGTTTTGGAGCTTGAGGTACTTGATCTTATTACCATAGATGGCTGTTGAGGCTAATTCACATTACTTGCCATTTCATTACCTAAGATGAATGATAAACACAAACCTGTGAATGAATCAAATCTATCCTATATTAATGCACTGAATAGTTTGCTATAATTTTGGCAACTGTTAAACAACCTAGTTTTAGGGGCCATTCATGTGGAACATGCTTTTTCGTTCCACTGCGCTGCTTTTTTATAGTTTTTGTATGCAAATATGCTCTAGATGGATGTCTTTGAGACATTCGGACATGTTGCTCTGCTTTTTTAGCATCTCAAATCATTATGATATTGACATTTTTGTATCAAGTATTAAGCATGTTAGACTCTAAAGTAAATGTTGAGTTGGCTAAAGATCCCCAACCCTAATTATTTAGATCAGTAGTCTTTGAAATGCACTTTTAAATGCAGGAAAATCATCAAATTTTTGCATCCTTGTGTTTTTGTTTAAAAGTCTGCCAACAGTGATTACAGTCAGTTGATCGAAAAGAAAAATGCCCTCTTCGGTGATTCTGAAACTATAATTAATCAGAAAGAGGAACAGATAAAAGGCCTTAGAGTGGACTTAACAAGGTGAGAGATTTCTCTACTGCTTTTGAGCTAGTCCATACATTAAAAATGTAAACAAAAAAATTAAACTAACATGTAGGAGGGTTTTCACTTTCTGCTAGTTGTTTTGAATGTCTGCTGGCCTGATTCTTGTTTTTTTGTCAGAGCTGAGGAGGAACTGGCTCTTACTCAGCAGTCCTGTAATGAACTGGGTGTAAACTTAAGCAGAAGTGTGATGGAGAAGCAAGCCATTGAACTGAAGATGTCTGCTGAGATAGATGACCTTTATCGTACCAAAAAGAATCTGGAAGAGAGGCTCATTGAGCTCATAAGGTGACTTATATACAGTAGTTACCTACCATGGTTTTTCTACTTTTCTAACACATCAGAATATATGTTCACTACAACCCAAAGAAATGCATTTGAAAATTCCTGTATCTGCTAAATTGTTACAAGCTGTTCTTCATAGAACTCTGGCTCCCCCTGTAGGGACAAAGATGCTTTATGGCAGAAGTCTGATGCACTGGAGTTTGAACAGAAACAGAGGGCTGAGGAACAGACAGACAGAGACGTCACATACTGTCTGAGCTGCCGCAACCACTTCACCTGGATGCTGCGCAAACATAGCTGCAGGTCAGGGGTGAAACTTTAAGGGGAAATGGCTTTTTTGGCAAATGACATTCTTCTTGCATTCAGTAGCTAGAGGCAATGGAATAAAATTGAGTATTTAGACCTTTGTTACCCTTGAAATTGCCAGTGACAGGTCATTTTGTCCAAGCTGTGTTTGACAAAGGTTGTGAGGGTTTTATATATATATATATGTACAGTGGGGCAAAAAAGTATTTAGTCAGCCACCAATTGTGCAAGTTCTCCCACTTAAAAAGATGAGAGAGGCCTGTAATTTTCATCATAGGTATACCTCAACTATGAGAGACAAAATGAGAAAAAAAAATCCAGAAAATCACATTGTAGGATTTTTAAAGAATTTATTTGCAAATTATGGTGGAAAATAAGTATTTGGTCAATAACAAAATTTCATCTCAATACTTTGTTATATACCCTTTGTTGGCAATGACAGAGGTCAAACGTCTTCACAAGGTTTTCACACACTGTTGCTGGTATTTTGGCCCATTCCTCCATGCAGATCTCCTCTAGAGCAGTGATGTTTTGGGGCTGGTGTGTGTGTGTGTGTGTGTGTGTTAAATTTACAATTTAAGGTAAATGTTCAAGGCCATCATAAGGGTGTCATCTGATTTTGTGGTGATAAATGTTACAGTTACTATTGTAAACATTTAATTTACCTGTCCCACCCCTGACTTGCTCTGATTGGTAAATCATCTGTCTGATTTAGTAGCTTGTTTTTAATTACGAATCACAACCTTGTAACATAATATTGGCAGATATTTGTAATATAATATTTTATAATTTACAATATTTTTGTGTTCTATTTTAATTGTTGTTGTATGTAGGCATAAAAGCATAATAATTGTCATACTATTAAAGAATTAATATAGCTACACAACACTACACTATAGATTTTTTTTAATTATTTTGAAAGATATCTCTTATGCTCACTAAGGCTGCATTTATTTGGTCAAAAATATAGATAATATTGTATTATTGAGAAATATTATAACAATGTAAAATAACCATTTTCTATTTTAAAAATATTTACAGTATAATTTTTTTTCTGTGATGCAAAGCTGAATTTTCCATCTTTAGTGTTACTAGATCCTTCAGAAATCATTCTAATATGCCAATTTGTGATTTGGTGCTCAAGAAACATTTCTTATTATAATCAATGTTGAAAACAGTTGTGCTGCTTAAAGGGGTCATATGATGCTTTTTTTAAAGATCATTATTTGGTGTAACAGAATATGTTGACATGCTTTAATGTTCAAAAAACACATTATTTTTCAAATACTGTACATTATTGTAGGTCCTCTATGCCCCGCCTCTCTCAAAAGCTTAGATTTCTACAAAGTCCCTCCTTCCGACAAGCGCAGTCTACTCTGATTGGCCAGCTGACCCAGTGCATTGTGATTGGCCGAACACCACAAGCACTCGTTGGAAATGTAACGCCCCTTACCATAATCGTTCTTGATGGATCCTGATGTTCTTATGATTTTTGCAAAATTATTATTAAATAAAATCAAGTATTGAATAAAATAAATTTATTATTATTATTATTTATTTATTTATTATTAAATAAAATAAATCTAGTATTGCAATATTTTATCATTCCTATTAACGCTCAACACACAACACTCAAGATGGATCCTGGCGCCCTTATGATTTTTGCAAAATGATTGTAAATAATAATAACAATAATGATAATTATTATTATTAATGTTGTTGTTGTGGCAAAAAATCTAGTATTGCAATATTTTATCATTCCCATGACCATGATTGAAAGACACAACTGTCTTGATGGATCCTCATGTGCTTATGCTTTTTGCAAAATTATTGTTATTATTATTATTTTTATTTATTATCATGTGCTTTATTATTTATTGCAATCATAAGTATTATCATTATTATTGTTGTTGTTGCAAAATAAATGAAAATAAATCTGGTATTGCACTATTTATTAATTCCCATGACTTTTAGTTTGACTCACAACTCTCATGATGGATTCTGATGGCCTTTTTGATTATTAGAGGAGGAATTGTTATTATTTATTATTATTATTATTGTAGCAATAAAATAAAATAAATCTAGAATGGCAATATTTATTTATTCAGCATTGTGTTTTGTTTCACAGGCTGTCTGTGCCGTTCAGTGTGGAGGACGTGGTTCAGTTTGGCGATAAGTCCAGAGAACTCTTCATCAGGTCCAGCTGTTACAGTGTCATTCTCATAACCGCTGCACATCCGGGTCTTACGATCAGCTGGGTCTTCTCTTCTGAACCCAAGAGCATCGCCTTCATGGTGGTGTACAGAGAGAACCTAGATACGCCTCCAGAACAGGCTAAGGTAACATACACGTGACATACGGCACTGTCATGCTTCGAGCCTTTGCCATACATTTATCAGCATTTCTCAGTTTATTGCTCCATGTGCCAACTGAACCCCGCTATTAAAATGCTTGGAAATGAAAGTGCCAGCTTATGTCATATTGCTGCTGTCCAGCCAATTTATATTTGCTTGGACACAAAATTGATTCTGTTGGCTCTATATTTGTAGTATTCTGATCAGAAATTTAGCTTGTTGATATTTTATCTATTTATATTTATACCAGTTGATGACTTATCTTATGTTGTATATAACACATCACATGAAATAACTGAAGCAACATTTCTCTTTTTGTTTTTTGATTTCACTTAGTTTACAGTTAAGTTACTGCACATAATCATCCCTTCCCAGAATTTAGTGATTTCAGCGTTAGATGTGGTAATACAATACTTATATTTGATCATATAGTATATACGTTTTTCATATGAATTTTCAAAAGATATATGTTTATTATTATATTAAAACATTATATTAGGCATATCCAAACAAGCTACATTAAATATTTCAAACGACACTGCCGATGAACTGACTTGCATGCAATAATGCATTAAATTGATCAAAAGTAAAGACATTCATATTGTTGTAAAATATTTCCTTTTCAAATAAATTGTGTTCTTTTGAACTATCTATTTCAAACATTCTAAATTTCTATATTATAAAAGAATGCTGAAACTGTTTGTAACCCTGATAATAATCAGAAATGTTTCTTGAGCAGCAGATCAGCATATTAGAATGATTTCTGAAGGATCGAATTTGATGCTAATGATGCTGAAAATTCAGCTTTGATAACAGAAATAAATTACATTTTGAAATATATCACAAAAGAAAACACTTTGAATTGTAATAATATTTCACAATTTTGCTGTATTTTTGATCAAATAAATGCAGCCTTTTGCTGTATAATCTGTCAAAGCGTTGATAAGAAGATGGTGATGATGTCTGGACAGCCTTAGTGTATTAAAGGGGTCATATGACGTTGCTAAAAAGAACATTATTTTGTGTATTTGGTGTAATGAAATGTGTTTATGCGGTTTAAACAAAAAAAAAAATTATTTTCCACATACTGTACATTATTGTTTCTCCTCTGTGCCCTGCCTTTTTGAAACGCATCGATTTTTACAAAGCTCATCAGTCTGAAAAAGCGAGGTGTGCTGTGATTGGCCAGCTATCCAATGCGTTGTGATTGGCCGAATACCTCAAGCGTGAGACGGAAATGTTACGCCCCTCACATACTGTTGATGTCGTGTCCCGGCCAGAGCGACGAGTCAAAAACATTAAAACCCATTACAAACGAGGCATTTGTTGCATCCAGTGGGGACATAATTACTGATTATAATGACTTATACTGTCTTTTTGCGCGTTGCATTGCATTGCATCGCGCCGCATAAACATAAATCTCTGTCTGCATTTGTGATCAGAGAAATGACAAACAACAAGTGCTACTCTACACTGCCCAAAACTCGCGTTTGAATCATCAGTGGCAAATCCTTTAAATGAAAACGTACTTGCGTGAGTCAGAACTGCCGGCATTTTAGTCTAACGTTACTCTCCCAGGATCAGTAAACAGTCCTCCATAAAATGCGCTGCACACATCTGGATATTTGGGTTAAACTGTTCTGGAACAGTGTTGTAAATACCACTTAACCACTAATTTGTAGTTGTGTCCTCTTTTGGAAGAACAAACAAAGTAGTTTAGCTTTCACAACGAAAAACACAGCGTCCTAGCGGGAGGGGAAGCCCCGGCTTAGCGTGCGCTGAGGCCGGGATAGAGTGAGCTGAGGCTGCGGAGTCGAGAACGGCGCACCCGGCGGATCCGACGAATGAGCGGCAACCACATGTGACGACCCCGGGCTGGATTCCGCTTCGTCCACGGTGAAAGTTGATGTATTCCCTCAGCGACCAGCACGGATCAGCTCTAGGCATGACGAAGCGGATATTGTCCTCTTTTGGAAGACCAAACAAAGTAATTTCGCTTTCACAACGAAGCACACAGCGTCTTCACGACATGGCTGCAGCGTCAACAAAACTACAGTGAGACTAAAAGTTACGCATTCTTTCTTTGCGTGAACATTTGGGCGGCGTTTTGCAAATATTTCCACATAGTGAGGTAGATATGTGGGGGCATGTTAGAACGAGCCATTTTAGGTAGGCGTGGCTGACTCTGAACTTTTATAAAGAATATCTCTTTGGATTTGAAACTTTAGTCTTTGCAACTTTACAGATCTTCTTTATGCACCAAGAGCTTGTAACACTCCAAAGAGAAAGGAAAAATTGAAATCGTATCATATGACCCCTTTAATGAATGGATCCTCAAACCTGTTTTTTTTTTCTTTCAGGTTCTGATCCCTCTGACAAGATGTAACTCTCATAAAGAAACAATTCAGGGTCAACTGAAGGTCAGGAACTCTGGAGAATATACTCTTGTCTTCGACAACTCCTTCTCAAGGTTCGTACTGAGATCAGTTCATTCCTCCAGCAGACCTTCTGTCGTTCTCTCTTAAACTCTGTTCATGTTTTGTTGGTCTTCCTGTTGGCAGGTTCCTCTCGAAGAAAGTCCAGTACAAACTGAGTATAGAGAAGCCAGAGGTCTGCAATGGAAGTGATTGTTCTTCATAGGAAATCGAATCACGCACACTTGTGTCTGTACCAGGTCACGGGACGGCTTGTCCAGGAATATGGCTGTTTATCAAGCCCAACTTCTAATGCTGCTTTCAATGATTTACGTGGTGAATCTCACAAAACATGTCTAAATCTCACAGTCAAATGAAAGAAATGAGAAATTATACTTTATAATGAAATAAAATACATTTTAAGACATTATCTTCTCCATGAATCCCTTATCCTATTTCATGCAAAAATCAAATTTTTGTTACTGAACTGTACTTGTTACTATATACAGTATATATATAATAATATTTTTACAACTATATATTTAAAAAAATCAAACGAAGCATGCAGATGCATTACATTAATGAGAATTTAAGGGAGAAATGTGTGGATTTTGTCAAGAAAATTAATGTCTAAATAAATAAATACATACATCTTAATGCTCCCAAGCTTCATTTTCTTTATGCAAAATAATAGTTTCTTATTGTTGTTCATTTGATTTTGGGGTGAAATATGACCTGGACATATTGTGAGATTCACTCTCTATGTAATTCAAAAGCCACATTCTTCTTATGAATGATTGCTCTTTATTCATAACCTTTTATGAATGATTTTAATACACTCATGGCAAACTCTAATAGCCAGAATGGTATAATATCTCTGACATACTTATCAAGAGAATGGACTGCCAAAAAAAAAGTAGTCAATGAAGGAAAGCCCTCTGAAATTTGCTGTGGTCAGTAGCTAGATGAAGGTTTGTATAACATTATGCACTACAGAAGAGCTTTATTACTGTGTTTTTTAATGATATTAGTCTAATAGATATGAAGGAAATGCTTATACTTCATCAGGTTACTCGCATACAGGGACATCAATCTGTTTCTATTCAAACATTTTTATTCATATCCATATAAGTCTAACAGATGCAAAAAAAAATCAGGAATTTTAAACTGACAAAAATAATAGTTATAAATAATCTAAAGATAGGAAACGAATCTATTTTCTTATGAGATTGCTTAGTGTATCTCTCATAATACGGGCATCGTAGATCTTTTTCAAAGCTTCATAAGTCAAATATGACTTTTTTGCAGACATATAATCTGTATTCTGAAGGGACGAGTACATAGTAATAAGAGGAAACTCCATTTCCTGGCCGTCTTGTTTATTTTCAACCAAAAAATGCTTTTTCATTCGGCTGACACCAGGGAAAAATTTATAAGCAATAACTTTGTGACTGTGTTTTTTGCGTAAATAAGATTGGCTGTGCAATAACAGATAACTCCAGCCTGAAGAAGGTGGACATTGTAAATGGCACTTTTTGTAATGGCTTAATTTGAATAATAAGCATTGATTCTTCACTGTTGCACTTTCTGAATGTGTTTCAGAGGCTGATGACAGCACTTGATTAAAGTACTGTAGCAGTTACTGTAAAGGGCTGTGATATAACAGTAATGAAATATTACAACTAGTTTGAAATGGAGCTGAATTAAAACTACTTGGTGGCGTGACTCTACTTTTGACTCAGTGTTCTGCATATCCATTAATGATTTTGCTTAGGCCTACAATTGATATCTAATTGTTTAAATCAATTTACCGTATAGGCATTCAATGACAACAGAAACTAGTTTAGCTCTGTCTTTCAGTCGACCAAACACACACACACACACAAACACTTTTGCAGTAATGCATTTACTATGGAGGGTATACCTTGATGTTATTTTACTAATATTTGTATAATATTATATCATTATTAATGATTTGAATTATCCTAAATTTTAGTAATTTTGTTGTGCTTTTCACATTTTCTATTTATTTTTCAGTTTATATTTCTGTTTCATTTTTAATTTGAGTCATTTTAGTACTTAAACTAATATGAGTTTTAATTAATTATGTTTAAATAATATATTGAATTAGTTATTATATTAGTTAAAGTTAAAGACGTAGTAATTTTGTAGTTTTTTTAAAAACTTTTTTTGTAATGTAATATATTTATTTAATTTACATTTGTAATTTGTTTCCAGTTTTAATTGTAGTTATTTTAATAATACTTTAAGTTAAACATGGTCTTTGTTATGTGTAATAACCCTGTTGCCAATAATGCCAATACTTGCATTTTATTTTCTTTGAGATTTATTTTAATTAACAAAAACTGTTTTAACAGTTGTAATTTTAGTTTACATTAACAATGCTCTTACACTTGTTGTAGAACAACACACTGAAGACCACAGAGCACCGGCACCCCTTAACCATAGTAAAATAACACACTCTCGTGGCATTGCCATCTGCTCCTGGAATATGTGTATGTTCTCCACTGCGATTAGCTCAGTCTCTATGCATGTGTCCACTAAAGATATGTATTATTCCCTGCCAGGGCTGCATCCAGTAATGCTCAGATGCCGGTTGCCCGTGGTTACGGCTGCGCTGCAGAGGGCGAGCGCCGTTGAGCTCAGTGCGAAGTCCATCTGAACCCAGCGTGTTTGTGCTGCAGAGTCCAGACCGTTTCCCAAGGTTAATGAACCCATTGTAAATCAGATCACATCCTGTGACCGGCCTGCAATGATCAGAGATTTACACGCATACAGGGAGAGAGAGAGAGATGGGGGAGGGGTGTAGAAAAATGTGAGTTGAATATCGAGTCTTGACTCACACACATATACACACACCAGTTTGCAGGAATCAGGGAAACAGATGTGATTATTTAAGAAATGACCTTTAAAAAATGCATATTGGTTTTTCAACAAGTAATGTGAATCAGTGGCTGTGTTCACAATGGATTACTGCCAGACTACTCACACTATTTCTGCAGTATTTAGTATGTATACTGCATATCCCAGCTGGCATGTCAACATTTATTCACAAGTAAATCACCCAGGAACTTTGTTTCAATTTTGCAAATTGATTCAGCATTGATATTGTGACATTGTTTATGTTTTTAGAGCTGGGTTTAAAATATTCATTTCTCGGTTTTAATCGATTCTCATTTTGATAAACCGATATTGATTCTTAAATCCCCAAAATATGATGTTTTTAGTTGATGTGTGAACAAAACTTCACTTAACGTTATTTGTAGCGTACATCCCTTGCAGCATGCACTTTGTTACTTTTGATAGGCTATAAAACAAAATCTCAAAATCTTTCAAATTCTGTTTTATTACAAATTCAAACGTTTTGGCACTCTTTAATATAAATATCGGAATCAAATCATGAAATTTGTGTCAATAACCAGCCCTAGTTGTTTCCATGATTTTTTCATACTGATCTTGTTAAAATTTCAACTTTTATAGAAGCATTTGGCATTAAACTTTATTTTATCATTTAAACAAAAACTGACAGTATTTCAAACTACATTTTAAGATCGGCCAAGTGCCGATTGGGATAGCATGCAAACTTTCTGTATGCATGCATAGACAACCATGCCTTACAACATTTACTAAAATGCGCATTTGCTAAAAATGAGCATAGCCTGCTGTGACTCAGTACCGTTTTCCACAATGCAATGCATGTAATTCATTCAGAATGGTTCCTTAATGATCACTGTTGTTTTGGGCACATCTTATGTAGCCTACTTTAAGTTTGAGTGTGTGTGTACTTTAAGTATCCATCCATTGTTTCCTGGCTTGGAATGGAAAACTAACATACTGCATACTGCACATTATAGCATAGCCTACTAGTATGTATGTTTGTTATGTATGTATGTATATATACATGTGTGTATGTATTTAACGTGGAACAGCCTATAGCCTACATCGACAAACATTTCCCCTGATAGCACACGTACATCATGGAGATGTCTATTTGACGTATGCATTTACATCTGCAAGATGTATTTTTTTGAGTGTTTGCTCATCTGCAATATGTCTATAGGACGTTTCCTATCAGATGTCAAATAGAGGTTTAGAAGATGTCTTTAAGATGTTTATGATTTAGAATGTATGTAAAATTGACATCTGAAAGATGTCTATCAGATGTCTGAACAGAGCAGATGCTTTCCAGATGAAGTGATCTTTAACAGACATCTTGCAGACGTGTACTACCTTATGTTATGTTGTCACATGATCCCACTACGCTGCAGTTTGTTGTATATGTGCTCTTGTTGCAAATTGTTTCCTATATTTAGTGTAACAGCTTCTCAAGCAAGTGGACGGGATTCTTGTGCACTCGTTGGCTGATTGAAGTGGTGTCCATTACATATCAGGCTCAGGATGCTATAAATCTTTGCTCGCTCTCCTCACGTTTGTCCACAATGGCTCTGAAATATAATTAACAGATACATGTATATCTTACATGTGAATGATTATCGTTTGTTGTTTAAGGTATTTTTGGGGGTTTAATACAAGTTCAGCTCAAGCAAAACCCATGCATATTTTATAACTGCATGGAACGTTGTTTTGAACCAGGAAAATTGCTTCCTGTGAGTATCCAGATAACAAAAATATTTTCTGTATCATAATTCTCTTTAAGCTATTTTTGGACTGCTATATTACCAATTAAATTCACCATCAGCTTCATTCAGCCTACTGTTTAGTAGCACTTTAGCAAGTGCCAAAAATGGGATAGGCCTACAAAAATTGCTCGTTTTCTTCAGGAAAAAAATCTAGTATATTATTAAAGCTAGTGTCAGGCGTCATAATTTCCTTCAGACACTACAAACAATGTTCTTAATAACCTCTGCAACAGGACAGGTGATGAGCAACAGGTATTATTCATAATATGTAAATAAGGGCCACAGTGACGCGTGGCCTCTGGAATCTGTTTACGTTCCAGTGTGTGAATATTATTAGCATAATGAACGCTTTTATTCTCCTGAACACTGTGAGTACACTTATTCAAATTCTCTTCTGATAATATGCCAGTGTTGCTAATCAATATCAAAGTGAATTTATGTGTGTGCGTGAGCTGAAGACTAACAGATGAGTTTGTGTCCCGTTTCTCCTAGTATTTGTCGGTGTCGAGCACAATTTCACCAGAGCGGTTGCTTTAGTCGTCCTCAGAGGCCGTTCATCACGAACTTCCGCCTGTCAGGTAGCAACCAAGACCTTGTTCATTTCAGCTCTCTGCGTCTCATCTAATTTCACTTCTCTCTTCCTCCATATTTTCAAAAAATGTTGCTGGGGTGTTGCTATCCCTGTTGAAAAAACCAGCATATGCTGGTTAGGTTATGTTTTGACGCTGGGATGCTGGTCCTTTGCTGGTTTAAGCTGAAAACATACCTAACCAGCATATGCTGGTTTTTTCAACAGGGATGTGGTTGATAATTCTGG